TCTGATTAGATTTTGAGCGTGATCAGCCCCCGGATAATGATGATTATACGACTTTTAGTTTTATAATTATTTCGATACATATACATTATTTGTAACAAATTTTGGCAATTATTTAGAAAAGGGGGAGGTCTCACCGATTTTGATGATTTTTGAATATGTTGTAAAAATCAACATTTGAACAACTTTTTCCTATACATATAACCACCGCTTGGCCTTATTTTTCGAGATTTTTCTTCAAAAAGATTGCTGCTACTGCAATGAATTTTGTCTATATGTACATGTCCGTGACTCTGTATGCGTCAGTCCACGATCGCCGATTTTTTCTCTTGTTTGTGACAAGAAATAATGCACAATGTGTGAAGCTAAATCTAGTTCTGTATTGCTGTCAAAGGTTCGAATATTCCGAAGTATGGAACTCGCCAAATACATTATGTAGGCTATTTAGCTGAATTCTTCTTCCATCGACAATATGATTTTAATGATCGAATAATGAAATGTTTCCCACTTCTGATAATATCAATAGAGAAAATTGAAATAGAAAATGAATACGTGGCCGACCGCCTTACGGCGGCCGGTATAAGAAAATCTAACCCAGACCTAATCCATTATATTAGTTACTAGGTAGAATAATTAGGTTTATAAGGGTTAGATGTTTTTATGCCGGCTGCCGTTAGGCACACCCATTGTCGGCCGCCTCGATGCATCTATAGAAACAATAAACAATCGGCGATTGAACGCTTACACACACGCTGCCACAGCATGTACTTACGTATAGATAGAATTCATTGTATGTAGTAGCAGCGATCTTTTTGAAGAGAAATCTCTGAAACTAAGGCCGAGCGGCGGTTATATGTATAGGAAAAAGTTGTTCAAAATGTTGATTTCTATAACATATTCAAAAATCACCGAAATCGGTGTTACCGTCCGTAATCTAAATAATTACCCACATTTAATATTTAATAATCGTCAAGCACAAATTACTACAGAAAGTTATCGATTCCATATGGATCTCGGAATCGATCAAGTTTTGAATCGGCCAATAGTTTTGCGAGTTTGGAGTCTGACAGTACTTTCCAGGTTTTCAAATGTTTCCAATCCGGCTAGAGCGCGCACGCGTTACCTCTCTACTTGCGCGAATATTCAAAGTATGTGTTGCAGCCTTTCGCTACATTATTGTCTACAATTTCATACCCTACATTATTCACGAAAATAAATGTTACTTTATTTTGTACAGTAGAATTTTCAAATGAATGCATAGTAATCAAGTTTTTTTGGAAACATTATTGTGGAAGATTTTAGAGTGGGGTTGCATGTTGATTAAAATAAAATATTGCCGCGAAAGTCTTCTTCATTTATATACGCGCTTCGTGGGAGAGTATGTGTTGGATTTACTGTAAATAATAAATGAGCAAAAACGAATCGATGATTGAGACACACTGTCTTTGGCTGCATAAAGAGAAACCTTAGCGGGTCCAACGAGTCTAAGGGCCTTTGCTGTTTGTCACCGAAGGACAAAGTGAGGAACACGGTGCAGGCATAGAGTTTCTTTTCAAGTGGACGACACATTTTCTTCACGTGCAATTTTAATAGCGATAGAACATCCTTTCCAGCCGTAAAATAAACTTTCCAATTCGTTACAAAAGAAAGACTTTTCCGGGTCGAGATATTTAGCGACAGTTTGTCGAAAAATAAATTTTGTAATATCGACATATTCATATTATTTCCTGAATGTCCAACAGCCTCAAAAATAGAAATGTTTGTGAAATTTAATGAAAATTATAATTTGTAGAAGTCTTTAAAGTTGAACGATTTAAAACTACCATTTTTACCGCAAGAAATTACTTCTCCTCATTGAGATGTTTCAACAGTTCCGTTTAACATTTTCATTTCGTTTTTTCCTTTTAAATCAAGAGTATTTCTTTGCAGTGAAAAACAATGCTTTCATTAATAATTGCTGTACATAATATGTTTAAAAAGTAATGCTGAATGAAGTGAATAAAATGTACAAAATTCTTTACAATTGATAAGGAATATCTTAATTTTAAAATATCATGTATTTTAACTAAATGTAATGTTTTCAACACATCTTCCCCTAAATGTTCATATAAAATCACTTCCCCCTTCAGATCAATTTTCATATTATTATTGTTTAAAGCCGTTATTGTCATTTCTCATGGTCGCGTCTACCGTTACCATGCTACACGCTACGCTACAGAAATATGGGTTCTCGAAACAAGAAATTTTGTCCTTATATGAGCAGCTTTTCGGTCGAATGAGGTCTCATTCGAAAGAGGAAGGTCCAATGCAGTGCGCTCTGGTCAAAATCGAACGAGATTCTGTTCACATTTATTAATATAAACGTCGAAAGTCGAGGAAAAAATGAACGAAATACAGCCGCAGAATCGAGGTATGGGTTAGGGTACTAAAAGAGTGGTACGATTCCAATACTGAATCACCTGCATAGATCCCGCTTCGTGGGAGACTCTATGTTGGATTTATTGTTAATAATAAATGAGCAAAAATGAATCGATGATTGAAAGACACCGAAGGAGGTAGGCACGAGCAATGCAGCGCGCGGTATACCGACACAATTCGGCCCGAAATATGGGTTTTCGAAACAAGAAATTTTGTCCTTATATGAGCAGCTTTTCGGTCGAATGAGGTCTCATTCGAAAGAGGAAGGTCCAATGCAGTGCGCTCTGGTCAGAATCGAACGAGATTGTGTTCACATTTATTAATATAAATTCTCTGCACAGAAATGGTAATACCATCAGATACGCTGCCGCCTAAAGAAATCAGAGGGAGTTGCTTGCTATTGCCATATACCATTCCGAACAGTGTGACCAAACGACAATAGTAACGGCGAACTTCCTTAGCGTCTAACAGAGTGGTGGGGATAGACGGTATATACTACAAACCCAGCCCTCGATTCTACGGCTGTATTTCGTTCATTTTTTCCTCGACTTTCGACGTTTATATTAATAAATGTGAACACAATCTCGTTCGATTCTGACCAGCGCGCACTGCATTGGACCTTCCTCTTTCGAATGAGACCTCATCCGACCCAAAAGTTGCTCATATAAGGGCAAAATCTCTTATTTCGAAACCCCCTATTTCGGGCCAAATTGTGTCGGTTTACAGCGCGCTATGCCGTGCGTTCTTCAGATCGTCGCGAGTTCGCGTCCAGACACAACGTAGCAGATCATTATGTATTTCACCTTCTATAATAAAGTTTTCTGCTCGCTATTGTTATCTGTGCCTATACTTTCGACCACAGTGCATCTCCTATTGCTATCCCATTAACAATAGTCGGTAAGCTAGGTATTTTTGCAAAATCTATTATTGTATTATTCAGTTCTGTGACATTGAATGAAGCTAAGCCTAATTGTAGTTGGTATGTTTTGGCATCAATATCCGTAGTTCCAGGTATAAGAGTGGCTGTTAACGCGGAGCCTATACATTCTTTATCTAAATATATGCGATGTAAACCTTGCACAATCGTGTTGAGAAGAGAGCTGCATCCATATAGGATTCATTAATTTCAACATTGCGGTTTTGCACTTGGCTTGTGTTAGAAACGTAGAAATCAAGGAATGCCTGAAGCAGGCCATGTGCTTCTCCTTGGCGCGCCTCCCCCTCTTAAAGGAGGATCGGCCAGAATGTTTAGACAAAGAAGGACCGTACTGTCAAGGGTGCCCTCACGACCCTGGTTTTCTGTCAGGGTACAGAACTGTATTGGCTTTTGCCGTGAGCAGAGATACGCTACTGTTTTAGAAAGCAACTCGTGTCGATTTTATTTAAAACGCCCGACCGCTATCCAGATCCTGATATCGAACTTTTTCTTACACAAGTCGGAAAGTAAAAATGTCTGGGCATTTGGAAATTCCAAATCATATGCCGTTGACGGGAGGTCGGATTTCAGTTGTTAAGAGCGAGAAGGCAAATGTGAGCCTTTCTCTTTCAACTCCCACGAGGCAGTTCGAAGTTACTTCGGGCAGCTTCGAAGAATCGAGAAAGAGGGCATGCGTCAGTTTGCCTTTGTTGACTTTCCGAAACTCCACGAGCTCGCGTATGCGTGATGTAGTGCATCTGGTGCTGAATCTGGCATCTCTGGAACGACTTCCCAATATCCCAGTCGTCTAAGGCAGAGCCTGCTAGAAAGCTTTAGTGATGAGTCCACTAGCAGGCCCGGGCGAACCGCGCCCCCTCCTTTCCTTTTCTGCCCTCCTACGAATTTCACGAGATCCTAATCGCAGCGAAGCAGCGCCATAATTACATACCTAAATAATAATGACCCAGGTCTCACTACGAGGAGGTTGCTGCGAATAGCGACCCGCCCTAGCCTCGCCCCAACCACCCTTCCTTTGGCGAGGAATTCGAATACCTATCTAAGAGAGGAGAAGCTATCGAAAAGTTAGAAATGATCTTACAAAGGTCGAGTTCTTAAAAGAACTGCCCAACCAAGAGATGAAAAACTAAATGTCCAATACATGTGAGGTAATCCATCACATATTTTCTGGAAACAAAATTGGAATGTGCAACTGCACGTACGAACTCTGACTGATAAAGAGATCAAAAACCTACCAAAATGTTGATATCACTGCTTCTATGTAGGAAGCATGTGATCGGCCGGCCGAAAAAATACATTGTATGCAAGGTCTACTCGTATACCTCATCCGTGTTACAGCTTTTTAAGGTTCTTCCTGGTGGCAACATTGATTCGAATTCATTCGTGTGTAGGGATATTAGAAGTGTTGCATATTTGTAAGCAACGCCTGAAAAAGGAAAGATATCAAAGTAAAAAATAATTGGTTGATAATCTAAATTGTGTTCGACAATTTTACAAATTTAAACATTTTCTGTTTGCTTATTTTTGCTCTAAAATTTCCAGAAAAGGTTTAAATAAAGTCGGCGACCTCTCCTTGCCAAAATTTGAACCTGAAAAACGCCGGGGTTAGGTCTCTGTGATGTATCGCGACGAAAGTAATTGATTAAAGAAATGTATGAAATTGTATATATTTCTTAAATGTATTTATAATATTACCACGAGCAACGAACAAGTTTCGCTTCTATCTGCGTCTGTAGAAGTACTCCGTGGTAACGTTACAGAAACATATAAAATCTCAGTTTATTCTGACAATATTTAAGCAAGAAGTGATTATTCCAGCATAGTTACTTGCTAATTTGTAGCCTCATATATTACAAACAGATAAATTTAAGCTTTGTAGTTTCTTAGTTGCATTTCTATATTACCCTATACTTTGTCGGTTTCAACAATTATATAAAATTCTTTTAATGTTATCACGTACATGATATCGTATTCAAATAACTTCGCAATCACACAAAAGTTCCGCACGTAGATGTACAAAATTTGTCATTCTATGTAATCGTACAACTACGTAATGAACGATGAATAAATGAATGCGACGAATAGTGTACGACGCATTCGAAAATGAAAGCAACGCGTGCAAAAATATATTTAATTCAGTCGAAGTTGAAGCTGCCGAAATATCATTCTGTAATTCTTAAAACATAATTTGTACAGCAGCTGAAAGCGTCTGAGAACAAAGTATTTTGTTTTTTTTCTAGTCAGTTCGTTGTTCTCAGATGATACGCAATCTTTGACATATAAATATTTACGAAAGACGGTACAAAACATCTCCTATACTCTTTTCGTGAAATTGTTTCTGTCGTATCCCTAAATGGTCCAAATAATCGATAAGTATTGACATTGCGCGCGTGAACTACATTTTGAGGCAGCGCAAAGTCTTGTCAGGTACTCTTAAGATAAATTGGAACGTATTCTCTCTAAGATTGTTCGCGTCGTCGTCCTCATCCAACTCATCTTCGTCGCTAATGTCCATTTCTTCGTTATCGAAATCTATGTTGAAATTTTGGTCACCCATCAGGAACCTCAGGCACATATTTTCCTCTTTTATCCGCGAGCGCACTAACAATTCCAGAGTAAATAGGTGCTCGTCTTGAGCTTCCGGTAGATAACGATGCATAAATTCCGCTAATCTGTAAATAACGGATAGAGTCAATAATAATAATAGATTCTGGCCGCTATACATAAATAATATTTGTTCGCAAATAAAATAAACTTTATTTGGATCGCGGCGTGACGTGCGTGCTTGTTTCCGATGGAACGACAGTTCGAGAAGCGCAAGAGAACTGTCTACCGAGCAAAATTTACTATTTTGCGTCACATTGGTGGGTCAGAGAAAGATAAAAATATGTGAGTGGAAAAATAGAGAAAACTCGTCGCCGAATCGATCGCTAGTCAAAGTCTACGAGCCAGATGTTTATTTTCGCGCGATGACACCGGATGGTCGAACTGATCAGGCCCATGACAACACTTTGTGGCTCGCAAGCAAGTTGAGCAGACTTTCCGAGAATTTTTCGGCGACGAGATTTTCTACGCTTCGAGGTCGTTGCAAGCTACAGTGTTTATATTCTACGTTCTCGCCTAAACAATATGGAACAGACGATGGCAGGCAGCGTTGGAATAATTTTATTTACGTGAATAAAATTTGTCCAATCACACCTAACCCAGAGATGCCAGAAGTGCATCGAAGGTGCTCTCTCACACTATGCCAGATCAGGCGTACGTGAGCTCGTGGCGTTTCGAAGAGTCGACAAAGGCAAACTGACACATGCCCTCTTTCTCGATTCTCCGAAGCTACCCGAAGTAATTTCGGACCGTCTCGGGAGTCGAGAGAGAAAGGTCCATATTTGTCTTCTTGCTCTTGAACAACTGAAATCCGACCTCCCGTCAACGGCATACGATATACGATTTGGAATTTCGACTGCCCAGGCATTTTTACTTTCCGACCTACACAGTATATCGGAAAAATAACGGAACTTTTTAAATTAAAAGAAGAAAAATTAGTTATTTTGCCAAAATTATTTTTTTTTATTCAAAATACATCCCTTCTGCATCAATACACCGCTGGGCAAGTTCGACTAGTGCCAGCATAGATTTTTTTATATCATTTTACGGAATCGCCTCAATGACTCTGGTCACCGCGGTTTGGACTTGTGTAACAATGTCATGAAACGTTCCTTTCATGGCCAATTTGAATTTTGGAAATAGGAAATAATCACATGGAGATAAGTCCGGCGATTACGGAGGATGTTGGAGCACACAGACCTGCTTTTTCACCAAAAATTCGCGAACAGCTACAGTCCTGTGCGATGGTGCATTATCGTGTAACAAAAACCAACTTCCTGGCGCACGATATTCGGGCCTCGCTCGAACGATTTTTTCCACAAACGCTCAATAACGCCCAGATAATATTCACCATTGACTTTTTCACCTTGTGGAACGAATTCCCCAAGTATAATACCTTTAGAATCATAAAAACAGATCAACATTGTCTTCTCTCGTGACTTCGGAGAGTCTGGGGTCTTCCACGAATGCGAAGTCGCATCATAGGTAATCATTTCCTGGAAACGTTTATACCATTCGAACACACGTGTACGGGATAAACGATCATCACCATAAACTTTTTTTATCAATTCAAATGTTTCTGTAAAAGTTTTCCTGAGCTTGAAACAAAATTTAATATTTGCTCTCTGTTACATTGTGTTTCTGCGACGAAGTGACAAAAGGTACTGCCATTTTAACCGTTATAACTTAACAATGCGTTAATCGATACCAATAATGATGCTTTTGTTTTGTAGAGGAAATATACAGCTTTCAGGTTACATATTGTTTCAATAGATGGCATAAGCAGTTTTCATTAAATTTAAAAGGTTCCGTTATTTTTCCGACATACTGTGTATGTAGGCGCACATAAGCAAAGTACCCATAATGAAAAAAAAATTTTGTGAAACTTTTTTTACGGAAATACACGTTTTAATACTCCGTGATCATATTTTAATTATTGAAAAAAAAAGAAACTTTTGTTTATTATTCCTATGTATGAGCGTACATATGTATATTATTAATACAATTGAGTACAAATAGCTAAATGAATTTAAGTGAAACTTTACATTTAAGTTTCATGTTCTCATTTCAAAGTCCAGTTAGACTTTGACTATAATCAGGTTGTGGATAATAATGATTACACCACAGACGAGGTATACGAATAGGCACCCCTGCCGGGTTTTTCTTAAAAATTCGTCTTTGATTCTTCTTTGATTTAAAAAAAAAAAGTTTCATTGAAATATATTCACTATTGTAGGTGTTATGGTTGTTTTTTAATCCGTTCCATAGTCAACTCACGTGTATTTACGCACAAACTACAGCTGTCTGCCCATAAATCCTAATTCAGTGAATAGTTTTTCAAGTGATCGCTATCCATGAGAAGAGGACGCTAAAATCGTCTCCGAATTTTCAGGTCGGTATAGCAGCCAGATTGGGCCACGAAAGTTCAAAAGGTGTAACGTCTACTCGTATACCTCGTCTGTGATTATACTTGTTTTATAGTTGTTCCGGTACATAAGCGTTATTTATAAAAAGTTTTCTAAATGTTTAATATAAATCTTAGGTAGAATTCAATTTTACGTAAAAAAAATTAAATAAACTTTGTCTCTATCTTCTCTAGAAAAGAAAAAATTAAATGAAATCTTATACACTACATGCTTACTTAAATCACGTCGGAATTCCAAATCGTATGCCGTTGACGGGAGGTCGGATTTCAGTTGTTCAAGAGCGAGAACGCAGATGTGAGCCTTTCTCTCTCGACTCCCACGAGGCGTCCAAAATTACTTCGAGCAGCTTCGGAGAATCAAGAAAGAGGGTATGTGTCAGTTTGTCTTTGTCGACTCTCCGAAACTTCACGAGCTCACGTACGCGTGATCTGGCACAGTGTGAGTAGTGTACCCGGTGCTCAATTTAGCATCCCTGAACCTAACCACAATTTACTGCTAGATAAGAACGTACCTTAAAAGATATTCGACGTTATGTCCGCTTGGACCAGAACACTCGGAAATTTGCGTGGCAATGCTGTTAAGTGGTGCCTCTCCGAGCCATTGTTCGTTTTTACAGGTGGCAATGAAAATGATCGCGGTTACGTCTTTATTCCCGTCACGACTGTAGAACGTTGACAACGTCGTGACGTATCCCCCCAATGTGCACTCGCGATTCTTCAAATATGGTAGCGCTGTGTTGTCCTGAACTTGAAACGCTCGTCCATAAACAATACCCTGTCGACAAAGTGAATGGTTTCGTTGAAATTTCATATTATCGAACATTTGAGTTACTGAATGCGAATAAGAATGCGTTTGTTTCGTAGTTACTGTGCTTGAAAAGTAGATCGTCCTTAAATATTGGTTAGGGAAACGATTAGAAAAGATTAAATAAGTAAAACGTGTATTATCCAAGCAAATAGTGAGACATGATTCAAAACACTTTTCTAATACTGTGGTACTTAAAAGAAATACATATCGTCTCTGGTTTGACCATGTAAGCAATTTATTGCACTTGAACGTTTTCGATTTCATGTTAGAGGTTGTTTTTCGAAATAGGTTGTAAACATTTTTAAAACAATGTAATACGGATAACAATGTTTAGAGAAATATAACTATTGGACTGTCCAGTGTACGATACTTCTATCTAAACTCGAATCTTGTAAGATTCGAAAAGTCAAACATTTTCAAATTGATTCGTCTTCAAATAGATTTATATTAAATATTAAGAAATAAATATAATAGATGAATTAAATGACAAAAGAAATAACACCGAGTTCTTTGTTATGTTTTTTTTTCAGTAATGATTTGAGGAGAATAAACAGTATTAGTATCATAAAAATTTGATATTGACGGTCAATCTCGTTCGTAATTACCTCTGTTTCTTCTACCAGCGTGGCCACGCGCCCAGGCTGCAACAAAAAAAAAAATACGAACGTTGAACGAACATAACCAATGACGTTTAAACAGAAATAAAGAAAACAATGGATAGAAGTGCGTGTTAAAAATGTGACGTAAACACGTAACACAACACATAGGACGAAATCGTGTTCGAACGATATCAGTTTCTACGAGTTGCAACTGGTTTCACATCGATCAAGATGTAATACTTGTAATCGGAAACCAAGAGAAATCAGTCACTTAATAAGTCATATGCGCGGTATCTGAGAAAACATAATAATGCATTAACCGCAAAATCGTGCATATAACAAAACAAATTATTGAATTTAATAGTCATAAGAAATGATTGGAAACGTTGACAAAAGACATCATTTTTACGAACACGAAACACAATGTAATGTTTTATGCACACGAATAATTTTCATTGTTATAACAGCATTAAATCGATTGGAGAAAATAGAACGACAAATTAATTACGTACGTGAAACTGTATCTAATTTTCATCACTCTTAATGGAAACATCCGTAACTACCAACTAACAATAAGTGGTAGACATACATACATGCAATATTTCCAAACAGTATACAGGGTGGTCGGCCACCCCCGGGAAAAATTTTAATGTGAGATTCTAGAGGCCAAAATAAGACGAAGATCAAGAATATCAATTTGTTGATTGAGGCTTCGTTAAAAAGTTATTAAAAAATTAAATTAAAAAATTCAAATCATTCTGAAAAAATTATTTTTGGTTGCGGGGCTCAATTATAATCATTTTTTATTAATACATATACCCTCGAAATCCTACGCACTTTCGAGAAAAAAATTCGAGTAGGTACTGAAATTTTTAAACGAAATTAAATAATTTAAAATCATACTAAAAAAATTATATTTAGTTACAGGGGACAATTACAAGCATTTTTGGTGAATAGACATACCCCGAAATCCTACACGCGTTCCAGAAAAAAAAAAACCAATGTCAGACCAGAAATGCTTCCCTGACCTGAACGGATTGGAGGATTTTAATTTTTCGAAATGCAAATAACGCGTATTTTAGTTGAGAATATGTAGAAATTCTAACAATATTGAAAAAGTTGTTTCTTGGCACCGTAAAGTGAGAAGAACCCCGTAAAACTGGTTGAATTTTCAAACGGCCATAACACCTACAATAGAAAAGGTATCTCATTTAAATTTTTTTCTGAAGCAGAGCCCATGGGTACTTACAAAAAAGTATTAGACAACTTTTTTGTAGAGCGTCAAACAAATTTATTAAAAATGAAAAACAAATTTTTAAGAAAAATCGACCAAGGGGAAAATAAAATTTTAATAATAAAATAAATTTGCCTAAATTTTTCGGTGAAATTAAAAAATTTCAAATCGTTGTAAAAAAAATTATTTTCGGTTGCGGTAGTCAATTCCAATCGTTTTTTGTGAATAGACATACCCACGAACTCCTACCCACTTTCAAGAAAAAAATTCAGTATGGGCGGAACTTTAAACGTTAATAACTTTTTAACGAAGCCTCTATCAACAAATTAGTATTCTTGATTTTCGTCTTATTTTGGCCTCTAGAATCTCCCATCAAAATTTTTCCCACGGATGGCCGAACACCATGTATACTAATCTATACTAAACGAAAAGAATTCGTTATTTTTCCGTTTTGAAATTTTTAGTTATTTCTAATCAGCCTTGTATACAGAATGTTTCTTCTATCTTACACATCGTAATATCTTCGTCATTTCAGCTGATATGAAAAAAATGTTAATCTGCAAAGAAAGGTGATCTTCGAAACTTGACAAAATGACCTTGAGAAAAAAGCATGAATCATAATATTCTTAGCTTCAAGCCAAACCAATTTGTCCCGACATGTTTTTTCGTATCAGCAAAAATTAACGAAAACATTAGAATGTGCATAATAAAAGAAACAACTTGTATACATCTAAACCCGTAACGTATTTCCGAAGTAAAATGTTTATTTCCATCCGAGATAGAAAAAAATATTCAACTACGCGCAATATTGCAAATTTTCCACGTGTAAACATTCGCGAGTGAAAATACATGGCTTATACATATATTATATATAATTGTCGTAAACACAAAACGTAGAACAAAAACGTATCCTTGTAACGTGATGTGGATGTCTGCCAAATTTTTGTAAAAATATTCACGCGGCGAGTTCATGAACAAGAAAATTGGCTGTATAAATAGAATATCTCGGACAAACTTCGCTCGAAAAACTATAGAACTAACCAACAGGAAATAATTCGAAGATCGAACGCAAGTATACGTGTACACCTTTTACAATGTTATGTACGACCGTCTTTTAATACGTAATAAAAGTTGCGAAACTGTACATTAACATGCATCGGTGCCACACTTCAGCAGCTATTTTCGATATTTCTCTGTACATTTACATATTTTGTGACTGAAAATTTATTGAAGGAAATTTCATTAAAACTCTATAATAGCAGATAATCTCGTAATATTTTATTACTGAACTGTAGACAACAGGTTTGATAAGTTATCGAAAATTATAACCTGTTTCGAGTCTCTTGAACAATCGAATCGAATAGTTAAATTTTTATTTTTATTTGACAATTAACGGATAAACAATTATTTAGTTATTTTCTAGTTATTCACATTTTTATTCGGATGACTGTTTACAGAGTAATAAAATAAATATCTAGTTCTTTCTTCTCGTGGCTTCAGTATAGATATTCTCTCGAACTATTGATAAAGAAACAAAGGATGGATAAACGAACGAAGTTGAGCCGCGAGAACTGACAAATGTAGTTGCAAGATGTCGTTGGAGCTTACTTTTTCGGCAGTACCGCGATGAGTTGTATTGCCTTGCCAAAATCGTCTCGAGAAGCCCTTCACGTGTCCTATCATGCTTCTCTTGTACTCGAATCCTGGATGCCAGCACAAGGATCCGTATCCGAATATCCAGCATTCGTTATTACTATTACTATTATCAACCATCTTAAGTCGTCGTAAACGCGTAACAAGAAATCACAGTCAACTTTTTTCCTTCCAACGTGTCATCAAACTTTGATTTTCAACCAAAGTATATTGCATCAAGTTTCGTTTACGTGGCTTTCCGTTTATCCTCCATAAACGTTTCAATTAATATATCAAAGCAATTTGGCGCGAATAATATTAAATTTGCTTCTTCTACGTAGATGCGCGTGTTTCAAAATATTTACTATAATCCACGGATTGTTCGAGGTCATTGAATGAACTTTTTACGCAATATCTAATAATCCTCGTGTGCGAATAATTCCAAAGTTTTCAATTGTCTAAGCGTCAAGAATAATAATTAATAATCGTTGTTGTTCCGTTATCTCGAGAAATTGCAACGCGTAACGGTCATCGATTCGACAAGTGCACGGCACGTGGCTCGACTGTGCTTTTATTCCAACGACAACTGGGGTGTTTTAAAGCTCAATTATTAAAAAACTTTCACTCCCACTACAACATTCTAATTTCCTTCCTCCCACTATCCTTAGCGGGTTTATTATTCTCTGACCATCGAGGAACGCACGATTCGTCCAATCACGTGTCCGTTCTTTTTCCGCCTGTCGATTGGCGGTTTCGCGACGTCGACAGTACCATCCTTCCGGTAATAAATTTTGCTTCTTCTTTTTCTGAATCTTGACCGGTTGTTGCTACTTTTCCACGAGAGTCTGGACGTTTGTAGAAATTTCGTGTGAAAACTTTTGTTCGAGGGAAGTGATTGAATGAAGTGTCCGATGATCGAATTTTGTAATTCCCTTTTGTATCGAGTTTCCAGTGAATCGTATCGATCGATGCAATGTTTTTAGACGTTTCATTGGAATTACTGCAATTTGGACAAACGAAATTTTGAAGATCCACAACGAAACGTCCGCCACGCGTCGAAGTTTGACTGAAACTGCCAGTTCGTCGGACGCGCCGTCCACTCGCTTGAAGCATGGGAGCACAGTGACGAAGAGGGAAATAAGTAAACTACGGTGAACGGATAGAGAGGGAGAACGTTCAATAAAGGAGTGGGGGAACTCGGATGAATCGGCTGACGAAACACGAAGTACGGTTGACGTATGACTTTCCAACTTTCAAGTATACGCGAACTGTATTTGCCGATTAATCAATTTCCGGACAATAAACGTGATTGCTTTACGATTATCAAATTGCCCTGCAAACGTTTATGCTAAAAAATTGGCGGAAATTGAACGATTAGTTTAAAGCAAAGACAAAGCACTTTGTATAGTTACTTCAATAATAATTTATTTGTATTGCAATTTGTACGTTAATTGGACATTAATTTTCTGAGAGACAAAGTTTTACTAGTTTTAAAAATGAGTTATATTTTGTCTAAAAATATCAACTTTATCTATTCAATACTTTGTCATTACTCTACTTAAATCCGTTTGGTTCATCAAAATTAAATTTTTGTAAGCCTAAAAAAATTATCTGGAAACAGTACGGAATAACCAAATTACTTTGAGTCAAAAGAAAAAGTACATAAGTCGTAATTAACGTGAGATCTTTCAATCTCGATGAAAGTTTTGTTGAACATATTCCAATCTAACAATTTTATGTCGCGTCAAGAGTTTAAATGTGAACACTAACAATTTGTCTAACAATGAGATTGAATAGTTTCTCTACACTTCTTCCAACTCTACACCTACAGTCGGTTACAATATTATTGGGACCCCAGTATAATTCTAACTTGTAGGCTTAGTTTTTTGAATAAATACACATTAAAAATGTATAAATTTGTTGGACCACAATAATTTTACATCGCATTCAGAGAAGACAAGTCTAAAAATTCTACGAATGGACAAGTATCTGCTGAAATCTATTAGAATTGTACAGTGTGATTTAGTCGAAAATATTTACGTCAGACGGTAATTTAATGTAACGCTTTTTACCAGATGTCGCTACTGCTATTAAACCGCGACTGTTTTATCAATACCAACAGTGCGATATAAAAATTTCCTACGATTTTGATGGTATTGTTGCGTCCCGAGATCGTGGTTTAGGGAAAAAGGACGGTGGGTTGGTGCCCGTGGAGCGCTGAACCGCTCTGCTCGGCGAGGCGCGCAAAAATCAAACGACTATGTAAGTTCGAAAAATGGTTGGTAAGATTTATTCGTCGTCGTCTCGACTTTTAGATACAATTTTGTTGACTTCCGAAATCGATCTGCTCCTCCGCGGAAATCTTCTCGTCGTCCTCGATGTTCATCCCTTCTCCGGAATATTCCTCGATCCTCCCTCTGGATTGTCCTGGTCCAATCGGGGTTCGTGCCTTGCTCCCTCCATCCGGATCGTCATAGATCGATGATCCACCCCCAAGCCGCGTGGAGGTGGAGGTTACGCGGCCATGTTGGAGCGGGCGCGCGTGAGAGAGAGCGTGGGAGTCGAGAGAGAAAACGAGGCTAGCGGCCTAAGCAACCCTTAAGAAAATTTATGACCCTTGTGAAAGTAAACGAAACTCGAAGCGAAGTGTCGCGAGGCCCTGCTGTGTGTCAAGACCATTGAAACTCTTAACGGAAATAGCTAATTCGGCACGGTCCGAAATAACTAAACAATAAACTAAAGGAATGATGGAAACTTGAATTCGACACAGCCTTTAGAAAAGAAACTAAGTATCTAAGAAATGCCTTCCTTTCTCTCTACCTTCCCCAGCTTGATCGCCCACGTTGAAAAGCGTACGATTTCGTTGTTTATTACAATACGCTAGTTGGTTTGAATGTCGCTCCTAATTTGCCTATCGATTATACATATTTCTGGGGCTACGTTCGCGTGGTCACGCAACAATACATTACATAAACATCTAGAAAGTAGGTAAGCGGGCCCCTTAGAGTCAGGAAGACGCCGCCCGAACAAAGTTTATGACTTTATGACTCCCGGCCTTTCTCGACCTGAGTTTTACCCTTGCAGGACACCGATAATTTTTGGAAGTGAGGACAGAATTAAAAATGATTTTATAAGACGAGCCCCTGCCCGTTCGCCGAAATTTGGCACGCAGATGTGAAAGAAAAAGTTAAGCTATTTACTATCCTTGCCTGGCCCAACTGTAGTATGGAAAGTTTGAATACAATCCCAGGCCCTCGTAACTCTCTGCGTTTAGGTGTCGCTTAAAACCTTCCAGCTGTGCTGTTCGCTACGAACTCGCATGCTTACAATAAATCTCCCCGTTACAATGGAATTCGAATTTCGCTCTCACATCAAACCTTGATATCCCTATGTCTTAGAGCTAACTTCACATAATACACAGATTCATACCAGCGGAGGTCGCAACATCTCCCTTCATATACAAAAGATGTTTCCAATGGAAACAACTTTTCAAAAAGAAAACAATACATCAATACTAACTTAAGTACGCAAAATTGAATGAATAAGTACTTTACAATAGACGATTATAACTATACCCCCTCTTCCCGGGCTAGCCCGCGGTAAACGAGCTACTCGGTCCACCCATTGTCACACAGGAAGCGCGAGTTGAAGAATAATAGTTATATCATAACATTTTACAGTAATAAGATATAGTTATTCTATTACTATATAGGTAATATTAAATCAATTATAGTACAACGCATAGCTGACATCCAGGAGTTATCAAACGCCCTAACCAAACTTATCTAAATATTCTTATCCAATATAGTTCATATAAAAGTACAGCAATATATCTAATACTTATGGTTAAACTATTTACACTGGATCTAGCCTTATACAGGCTAACTTAAGTTTATTCGCGTGAACTATTTTAGTCTTATTTTTCCCTATAGCTATTTCAATAGTGAGATCGTTAAATATTTCAACTACTTTATATGGTCCTAGCCAACTAGAATCAAACTTAGATGTCTTAGGTTCTCTAAGTAAATACACATCGTCACCTACAATAAATTTACGGGGATTTGCATTTTTATCATACCTTATTTTACTCCTTTCTTTTGCCTGTTCTAGGTTAATCGCTGCTGTAGCCTGAGTAGTCGTGATCCGAGTAAACAAATCATCTAGATGTTCAACGAAAGTTCGCGGTATTTCTTGGCGACTAAATTCTGATGGTATGATGGCTTTTGTACCGAAAATAAGCTCATGAGGGGAGAAACCTGTAGCTTCATGCACGGAAGTATTATATGAGAATATTCCAAAGCGTATCCAATCGTCCCAATCAGTTTTTCCACAATAATGCTTTAAATAATCTATAAAAACGCGATGTGCTCGTTCAAGAGAGCCCAACGATTGAGGGTGAAATGCCGTTGATGTAATTCTCTGTATTTTGAATATTTTGCAAAAGTTACTCATTATTTCACTAACAAAATTACTTCCCTGATCAGTTTGAATAACACGAGGGCAACCGAACCTACTTATAAACTGTTCTGCAAGAGCAACTGCAACAGTAATGGAGTCCATAGTTGATATAGGAATAGCATCAGAATGCTTCGTCAAATTATCCTGCAGAGTCAACAGATACCGATTTCCCCTTTTAGTCACAGGTAACGGTCCCACAATGTCCATTTGTACTTTCTCGAAAGCTCTCTGAGGGGTATCTGTTATGCGCATTGGCTGTTTAGTTTTAACAGAAAGAATTTTATTTCTTTGGCAGTTGGAACAAGAGCGGACAAAAGTTGAGATATCTTTCCCCATTTTTGTCCAATAGAAATCCTCCCTTATCCTTTTGAATAACTTAGTCACACCCTGATGGCCACCCACTACAGACTCATGATATTCCCGAATAATCGAAAGTCTTCTTGATAAAGGGGGAGAAATGATTTCACCAGTGCAAACCGTAATATTGTATTGTGAACTATTAAATGTCTGCTTTAAAAGATATTCAAGAGAATTCCATTCAATAGGCTCAATGTTATTGTTACTTTTAGATAAACTGATGGACATCACACCTAATGTTTCCATGAGATTTTTTAGGGATGATATTGAAGACGCGAGATGTCTAAAATTTTGTTGTTCAGCAGATTTCACCTTGGAAAATAAGTGGAAAATATGTTGGCTTCCACCGGGGAAAACCATTGCCTCACCCACGTGAACATTGTACGATTGTACCTGACCAATGGAAAACCTTCCTTGTGTTAACAAATCATTACTGATTTGTGAAGAAACTTGACAATCAGTAGAAAAAAAATGAAGAAGATTGTCTTTCCGCATATAAAGATGGTCCTTGCAATAAATGATACTTGGAAATGAAGAAGGAGGGGATGCTTGTACGGGTGGAATGAAATTTGTCAAGAGAACTTTGAACCTATCATGGGTATGAGAGTCATTTTCATATACTTTTTCTACGGAGGATCGTGTCCGTTCTTTACCTGATTCTGTCATTCCTGAAGCACCAGACTCGCCCACACTCCGCCACAACCTCATCCGGGATAAAACTGGTCTGCGCACAGCCAGTGCCACGAAATGAGTCGGGAATAAGAAGGTGCCGAGTCTCCGCTTTCGACACGAAACGGGGGCTCTTGTTGCCAATTTCTGGCAGAGCACTTTACCCTGAGATACAGAGACAGCCCCTAACGGTGCCTGTGGCGGGGTGCCTTCAAAGTCGGCCTTTCCGATGTCCGACAGACTCCCGAGTCGAAACATGTCCTCCGTACCTCTGCGGAGCGATCCTCCACTCATTACGTTAGTATTTAAGTCTTTAGAGGATTTTCCTCCCTGGAGAGATGCTTCTATGGAAGGAAATGTCTCTTCCTCATCTGCCGTATGATACTCGTCACTATCATTTGAGTCCGAACCCGAATGATTTGTTTCGTTATCAGTCTCATTACACCCACTACTAAGTTCACTATCCACAAGAAAAACTCCCGCAACTAAACGTTCATTTTCGTCTCCCATAGAACCGTCAACGTCAATGTCCCCGACCTCCTTAGAGATTGCAATTGGCAAATCGTCGGCGCCTACGACAACCCTTTGCAAACGCCTTGGAGGGGAGGCGTCCGTACTTTCAGTCTCGGTATGAATTGTCAAGCACTTAGATGGAAAAGGAAAGATATTTTGAGAATCGACAAGAACAGGATTTCGGGATAATGCATCTGCATTGGAATTGATTTTCCCAGGTTTATAGACCATCTCATAATCGTATTCGTTTAATCTAATACGCCATCTCATGATACGGGAAGTGGGATTTTTTACATTGTGCAGCCAAATCAGCGGTCGATGGTCAGTGACTAAAATAAATTTGTGGCCATACAAATACGGTCGAAAATGTTCAATTGCAAATAAAATCGCTAATAATTCTTTTTCAATGGTGGAATAATTATTTTCAGCGTCATTAAGGGTCCGAGATGCATACGCGATTGGGAGATCTTTTCCGATCTGACCCTGACTCAATACAGCTCCGACTGCATAATTAGAAGCATCAGTTGTTACGAGGAATGGCTGTTGAAAGTTGGGAAATTGGAGCAACGGCTCCGAACAAATGATATCACGTAAACTCTCGAAAGCGAATTTGACATCTTTACCCCAGACAAAAGGTACTTCTGCCTTCAACAATCGTGTCAGAGGTTTAGCAATTTTTGCCATATGAGGGATAAAACGTCGATAATAACCAACTAACCCCAGAAACTGTTTAACATTCTTCCTGGTTTTTGGAATAGGAAATGACTTAACAGCCGTGATCTTCCCGGGGTCTGGTTTCACTCCTTTGGCAGAGATAACGTGACCCAAATAGGCAACTTCTCGTCGCAAGAATCGACATTTCTCGGGTTGTAACGTTAAACCGGCATTCTGCAACCGAGCCAAGAGAATTCTCAATTTACGAGTATGCTCTTCCAAAGAATCAGCATATATGACGATGTCGTCCATATATACAAAAAGCTCGACTCCTTGTAAACCAACCAAAACCAAATCCATGCACCTCTGAAACGTGGCTGGAGCATTTTTAAGCCCGAAGGGCATATTATTAAATTCATAATGCCCATTAACAGTTGAGAAAGCGGTCTTGGATTTAGAATCCGGATGTATGGGGACCTGATGGAAACCAGAGGCAAGATCGAGGGTACTAAAATACTTGGCGGCCCCCCAATTGATCCAAGATATCCAAAATATTAGGGAGAGGATACGCATCATTGATAGTCTTCTCATTTAACTTACGGTAATCTATCACCATGCGCCAGCGAGGCTTACCATCAGGGCCAGGTTTTTTAGGTACAACCCAAACAGGCGAATTATAAGGAGAAGCAGATGGCTGAATTATCCTATTTTCAAGCAGTGAGTCTATCTGTTTTTGTATTTCCTCTTTGTGAACTAGTGGAAACCGATACTGTTTCGTATTTATAGGTATTTCATCCGTAGTCACTATTTTATGTTTGATTGTACTAGTGGAATTTAATTTATCCGAAGGCAGATAAAATTGATACGGAAATTCATTCACGATTTTTAAAATACTAGCCTGTTCAGAATCGCTCAAACCCTGCATATCGAGAAGCTTCGCCAATTGAACGAGCCTAGTAGCATCGGCTTTGGACCGACCCTTATTTGGATTTCCCGTCCGAGCCGAACGCGGCGAAGGAGGAATTTCAATAAACTCTTCTAATTCAACGGGGGGTATTGAAAGAGTCACACTATCGTGAGTAGTATTAATAGCGAATATCCTAACAAATCCATTCTCTTGCGAGACCAGTACTTCACCTACGTAAACACCCGGCTGTGTATCTAACTTCCTTATATAACCCTCTTGTCTTTCAATATTTCTAACAGGGACGGTTAGGAGAGTTTTCATGCGAGGTGGTAAACTAACTGAAACCCCTGTATGAAGAGGCAATTCCTGCCCCCCAACCCGAAGACTATTAGCCACAACGTCCTTGAATGTTAATATCGCTTGTTGCTGCTCCAAAAATGGAATACCCAAAATTCCTATTCCCGAGATCGGAAACTCATCGTTGACGATCTGGAATTTAACGCCAATACCGAAAATTTCGATGATCACCTCACCGAGAGTGCTAAGACCTCCTTTATCGATACCAACTATATTATAACTAACGACAGTATCCACCAACAAGCCAGAAATAATGCCTTTACGTTTTATTAGATTAAGTTGGGAGCCAGTATCAATGAGAAAATTGCCAATTCCCTTATGGAATGAATTATGCGATAACCCTAAAATAGGCAATCGACCAACACCTTTCACGTCGAAGTGGAAGCATGTTCGTTTAACTGGGGACGCGCAATTAGGGGTTCGCTCCGTTTCGCGTTTCCCCGCGGAGCCCCCTTTAAGTTTAAATGTTGCGGCTTGGGTATAACAGTTTCACGTTGCATCCCAGTATTTTTGTAATTTCCCTTTTTAAAACAACGCGACTCGGTATGCCCTGTCTTTCTACAAAATTTACATCTTAACCTTTCAGGAGCCGATGGATTATGAAAATTCCTTTTTTGTTGAGGACAATTGTAACGGTAATGGCCTTCCTGATCACAATTATAACATTTAATATTGCTGATACTAGCGGTAGCAACCCGAACATTTGACGATGAAAATTGCTTTACGGGGTCTGCCATTTCTTGTTCCAATCTACTCGCGATACTAACTATATCATCAAATGTTTTATCCGGTTCATTCGAAATAAAAAGTCTCAAATTTTGATTCTGAAGACCACGTTTAAAGTTTGTGACGGCTGACTGATTTAATAAAGCCGCGGCTCCTATTAGCTGTTCGGAGTTAAATTTTTCTTTAGCTGCTTCTAACCCTCGGCTCAAAATTTCACGGCCCCGAGCCCCATAAAACTCTACCGACTCGTATATCCCTTGTTGCAAACCCCTCAGTTCGCCGTGAATCTGATCAACGTCGAAAGACCGAGCATACACTTTCTTTAACAGGCCAATGATCTCGCTTACTGTTGTTGGTTCTGGACGATTTGAAATTAAAATATCCGCAGGACCTTCGATCTTATTGCGAATTATAGTTAATAAATTTCCACGGTCGGAAGGTTTAACTCGGGAATCGATAAGTTGGCACTGTTTAGTGAATTTAAGTAGAGAACCAGGTTTCCCGTCAAAGCGCGGAATCAGGTCGGAGGCTAATTTTAACGATAGATATGAAATTCAGATGATTCAACTGACGGCAGGCTAACAGCGTTGATTACCTCAGGGCGATAAAATTCATTATCTAAACTCGGCGAATCAAGCCTTGGGGTACTCGCGTGCACCGGCAAAAGATTTGAAATGTCCGGTTGTACCATACAATCATTGGCCGGTTCTCTAAGAGTTTCAGCGGATACATCCCGGACATCAAATTCTCGGGATATATTTAAACTAATTAACCGATTCCAACGTCTCCTCATTGCCTTACGACTACGTAACATGTTGTTGATATAAAATTACGATTAAATAAACTAATTAACTATCAACTTTGCTTTAAACCTAATCGAAAGCATATAAACTTATAATATACGTCTTACGTGAACTATTGATTGTCTTTTCGTCTCGCACGTTGATTTCAGATAATTTCACCGTTGCAGCTCCTCGTTGTACTTGGGATACTCCAAAAGATCGTTTCCGCTCCGTTGTCGAGAGATGATGTGTGTCAGATTCCGATCGAATTGTACATGTGGTTCCAGGGAGTTCTCACACGGCCACTGAAAAACCACCCACCTCTGGCATTCGCCCCTTTGCTCACGGGGAAACCGTGAAAAACCCGTGAGAGAGAGAATGTACCTTTCGCACTAATTTAACACACAAATGATCCACTCGCGAGCCGGCAAAGTTAATTGAATAAATTGTCTTTCAATTTCTTTTTCAAATCCCACCGCTGTCACCAAATTTTGTTGCGTCCCGAGATCGTGGTTTAGGGAAAAAGGACGGTGGGTTGGTGCCCGTGGAGCGCTGAACCGCTCTGCTCGGCGAGGCGCGCAAAAATCAAACGACTATGTAAGTTCGAAAAATGGTTGGTAAGATTTATTCGTCGTCGTCTCGACTTTTAGATACAATTTTGTTGACTTCCGAAATCGATCTGCTCCTCCGCGGAAATCTTCTCGTCGTCCTCGATGTTCATCCCTTCTCCGGAATATTCCTCGATCCTCCCTCTGGATTGTCCTGGTCCAATCGGGGTTCGTGCCTGCTCCCTCCATCCGGATCGTCATAGATCGATGATCCACCCCCAAGCCGCGTGGAGGTGGAGGTTACGCGGCCATGTTGGAGCGGGCGCGCGTGAGAGAGAGCGTGGGAGTCGAGAGAGAAAACGAGGCTAGCGGCCTAAGCAACCCTTAAGAAAATTTATGACCCTTGTGAAAGTAAACGAAACTCGAAGCGAAGTGTCGCGAGGCCCTGCTGTGTGTCAAGACCATTGAAAACTCTTAACGGAAATAGCTAATTCGGCACGGTCCGAAATAACTAAACAATAAACTAAAGGAATGATGGAAACTTGAATTCGACACAGCCTTTAGAAAAGAAACTAAGTATCTAAGAAATGCCTTCCTTTCTCTCTACCTTCCCCCAGCTTGATCGCCCACGTTGAAAAGCGTACGATTTCGTTGTTTATTACAATACGCTAGTTGGTTTGAATGTCGCTCCTAATTTGCCTATCGATTATACATATTTCTGGGGCTACGTTCGCGTGGTCACGCAACAATACATTACATAAACATCTAGAAAGTAGGTAAGCGGGCCCCTTAGAGTCAGGAAGACGCCGCCCGAACAAAGTTTATGACTTTATGACTCCCGGCCTTTCTCGACCTGAGTTTTACCCTTGCAGGACACCGATAATTTTGGAAGTGAGGACAGAATTAAAAATGATTTTATAAGACGAGCCCCTGCCCGTTCGCCGAAATTTGGCACGCAGATGTGAAAGAAAAAGTTAAGCTATTTACTATCCTTGCCTGGCCCAACTGTAGTATGGAAAGTTTGAATACAATCCCAGGCCCTCGTAACTCTCTGCGTTTAGGTGTCGCTTAAAACCTTCCAGCTGTGCTGTTCGCTACGAACTCGCATGCTTACAATAAATCTCCCCGTTACAATGGAATTCGAATTTCGCTCTCACATCAAACCTTGATATCCCTATGTCTTAGAGCTAACTTCACATAATACACAGATTCATACCAGCGGAGGTCGCAACAGTATGGTGAGTCCCAATAGCTTGGTGTTTGTTCATGAGTGATAAATGGTGATGGAAACGAAACGTTGTCAATTGAAATTTGAATTTTCAGTGTTCAAGAACGATATATTAGAAGTTTTAATCTAATCGTTTGAACGTAGATAATCATTTTTATGTTGGACACGATAAACGATTATTATCGATATTTTTTTCGTTTCATCTGCTCATTCGAATATATTTATAACCTTTCCAAACGTGGCCTGCCATACATTCGATTCGCATCGATGATTCAAAAAGATATACCACTTTCGTCAGACATGATTGACCAAACGGAAGATGATGATATGTTATACGCGGGGTGACATGGAAGAAGTGATAGATACGAATGAGTCCGAGAACTTTGAAGATGAAGTCTCAAGCGACGAAGAGCCTCTGGAAGATGCAATCTGTGTATTCACCGGCCACAAACCAGGTTAAAAAAAATCTCTATGTTGCACTATCACTAAGATTGTAAATGATTTTACTTTTACTTAAAACTGTAGGTTCCATCTTTTGCGGATCACTGACTAGAAGTAAAAAATTGGCTGTTACTGGAGGTGTAGGAAATGTAGCTTATGTTTGGGATACATCATCTGGAGAAATTATTTTTAAAGCTAGGAAACTATCAGATAGTATAGTCTTCTGTGAATTTAGTCCAAATGAAATGTACTTAGCTATTGGCGATATGAGTGGTATTGTTTATGTTTGTACAGTACCTGACAATGAAACAATCCTCAGCTATAATATAGGTGATCTGACGGTTGGTTTTTTCTAATTTTGTAATTGCATTTTGCATTGTTTTGATTGACAGTAAACTGAAAAATTATTTGTTATTACAGTGGTTAAAGTGGCATCCTACTTCAAGCAATTTATTTGTAGGAAATACTGATGGAGAATTATATAGGTTCAAAGTACCTACTGAATATCACAATTTTACCAATGGTTACAAATAT